TGGATAATATTACGATCGACGCCTCGCACGCCGGCGAGCGGAGAGCAAGATCCGTTTTCGCGAGGGCGGTTTTGTAAAAGCGCGATTCGCCTCGTTTCCGATCGATATAGAACGCCGCGGCGCGGCGTCGCGATATAAAATCGCGAAACGACGTCGTAAAATGCGAGCACGAAGGGAGACCTTTACTCATAGTAAAATCTCTGGGAAAACCACGTCAAACCGACGTGGAGAAGGGCAGACGAGGAAAGCGAGAGTGGAGAAGAGTCGTAAAAAACACCTCAAGTACTGATCGCGGAAACTAGACGATCGCCAGACGGCGGCTATGACGCTCCAGAGATGACGTCGTTGCCGTCGATTTTTTTGAAAAACATGCAGGATATCCCGGAACGGAGAAAACCCAGATACATGATGTTGCCCCTCGTCGTCTTTAAAATCGATTTCGTGCAGCGATGCGTCTTTCTTAGCGAAATGTCATCAAGTCGCTAAGTTTTTGAACTACGAAGGTCGAAGGCTTTTGATGAAATAAGTTTTGGAAACGCATGCAGATAAGCGCATATGCCACTCGTTCTTTAATACAAATTTCGCGGTAAACAGTACTATCTGACTTCCAGCAATTCTAGAAATTCCGTCAATTCTTTGACAGACTGAACAAATTGCTTGCAAGATCGCACTGACATGTTTGACAATCGACGTTTAGCATTCAAAACATCGGACAAAGAACGTTGCCGGAGTAAAAGTCGGCTAACAGTGGCTTATAGACCACTGTAATTGGTAAACTTTTTGTTTTTGATGAAAAAAATGTGGTGTATGGTAGTTAGACGAGATTACCCCTCGCTAGGAATTCCCGTTGCACCCTTGCCCTCGCGCGTCTACTCCCTTTCTTCTGGTTTCGCGTTGCACGGACATGGAAGACTCCAACTTTTAATTGACCCCGAACTCTTCGACACGTCGTAAACCTATGTCGAGAGCACGATGTAAGCGGAGTTCCACCCCGCGCGTTCCAACACGTTTCTCGCCCTGCATTTGCACAACGTGCTTTGATTCCGCGCCGAGAATAAATGACTCTAATTGAATCTGCGCCTATTCATGAATGCTGAAGTGTATACCCATCGTGTAATATGCATAGAGCGCCGTTCCAAAATTACTTTCTCGGACAACAATTGTTATAATTCTGACTAAAAGCGTGAATGTGTTTCAACTCTCTATTATTTTTAATTCTCCTTTTAATTCAACCTCAATTTAGCAAGAACAACCGACCTTTTTCTACATTAATAATACAATCGCGAGCTATTAATGCATCACTATTATTGTGGAGTACAAAGTGCAGGTGTCGCTTTAAGGAAGCTTAAGAATAATAAGATGTCATGCAATCACATTACATACGCATATATTTGATAGAACGTGGTGGGAGCTGATTTTCGTTGCATATCTGTTTACGTCGGAACAGTCGGATTTTTATCGACCTGTTTACGAGCCGATTCTACCCCTTCGAATACGAAGTGCAATCCGTTTCCTCGTATGTGCGCTCGTACAGAAAGAAATAAGAGCTGGAGAGAGAAAAGCAGGTAGCGTTCGTTATTAAAAAAAAAAAGAATAACGCTTTTTTTCCGCGTCCTCTTTACTCACGGGATATTTCATTTGTACATTATGAAGTAACACGAGATGGGACACGATCCTCCTGCCGCGACGTAGGAAGTTGTCGGTAAAATTATTACGAAGGTTCCTTCGCCGATGTATTTCCCGCCTCAAAAAACTCCATTAACCCGTCAGGAGACGGAAGTTCGAGTAATTTTTTACTAACTCGATTAAAATTAGTGTAATCCGATTCTCCGTTTTAACGATTCGGATGAAAATATCTCCTAATAATTAAAGGGAAGGAAAGAGGGTATAAATCATAAGATAAGTGAAAGCCGCGCGGGTCTCCTCCATCGGGCGCGAGATGTTCGGGACCGAGAATGTGAAGGAAGTGCCGTCTCGGATTTAGTTACGTACGAGGTACTCAATGATCATTAAAGTCATTCACTGGTGGCGTTAAGATTTCGAGAGGCAGAGGAAAGAGACGCGTCTCGGCGCGCAATCTTATCTTCTCTTAACGCTTCAATAATAATTCGCGATATTTTATGTTTAAAAAATTTACACGTGCGCCTGTATAGCTATACGTTCGAAAGTCGCAGTTCCAATAAATTATCGGTCATAAATTATCAACCTTTCCATATTTTTTTTAGATGAATAATGCGAAACTAAATAAAAACTAATAATTTTTAATAAATTGAGAGAATTATTAATTAATACAGGAAATCAAAATGCAGATTTTTTATGTAAAAATATTGCATAAAAATCTCAGAGAGGTGAATGAATTCGCGAAGTTTGCATTAAGGGTCAATAAGAATTCAGAGAAATATTCTCCCGACAAGATCGTCATATACGAGAGGCGCGCCAGCCACTTTTACGGTCTCTCGAATTCGACTCTCGTCAAAATACATACTCGCCGGTCAAATAAATCATATATATACGTGCACGTTGCGACACGTCCCGTCTGCGTTTGCTGCGAGGCTGGTGTATCGCGACAGATCTCCCGGAGGCTGCCGGGCGAGGAATTTCCAAACGAGCGACTCGCATTTACTTGACGAGCGAATACGATAATGAGACGGGTCGCGAGAGGGGGCCTTGAGGCACCGTCGTCCCACACACATATCCTTCGCCTCCTCCGCTGTTGCGCGCGGGGGCCCCGAAATTTCGGCGTCATGCGATCCGTACATTAACGAATAGTCGAGGGTCTTTGCGCAATTGCCAGGCCGGCGGCTAATTTCAGGGCCCCGTCTAACGTCGGAGCCCGATGGGCACGGAGCGCGAAAAATGTTCCGCCGATGAAAGAGAAATTTGGATTTTGAGACACGCGATGTAATAATGATCGTGCACGCGGGTAACGTTGAATCGACGTGAATTCGACCTCGCGGCTAAACGGCGAATTAATAGGCGATAAGAATAGAAAAAACGCGCGCGAGAAATTAGAAATGGGACAGACATGCATCAGAGAGAAATAAATGATCATTTAAAATCATCAGAAAATAGTAGCGATAGAGATAGAGGCCAAATATATCTTCTATTCTAGAAATTCTGTTAAATAGTGAGTGATAGAATCAAATAAGACTAATAAATAAAGTAAAAAAGACTGATAAAAAAAGGAAAAAAATATCGCGGTAATAAATTTTGCTTTAATCGCTCAATAACAAAGTTTTCGCGCTAACCGGATAATGACATAACAGTGGATGACGACGACGTCGGATATCGTTGCAATAATATTTGTCGCGGAGGCAAACGCGTCAAATTACAGGGCAATATCGAGGGAAATGTTGCAGGTGGTCGTGCAACTTTTTTCCCTCTCCCCCTGACAGGTTTGCGTTTTTCTATGGCATGAATCACTGACGAGAAGTCCGTCGATCCTGACGAGAATGGAAGGGTGGCGGGCTGGCTTATCTCGTAAATGACCAATCTAGGCCGGTCAGGCGCGCGTGCCATTGGCAGTGAAAAACACGTATTGAAACATGCCTCTCCTTTTACGAACGAAACTACCGATTTAATCCTTTCCGATAAGGAGGAGGCAAGGAAGAAACAACGACGGATCAGATTTACCTGCAGGGTCGGATTATTATCAAAAAACCTACCTGATAAAAAAAACATTCATCTCATAAGTTTGATGTTACAATTCCTCCCACTAACAGTGGGAACAGTGTGGTGTATACGGTTCATCTCGAGTTTGATATCCTTCAAAAATGGTTAAATGAGAATAGAATAGAATCTAAAATTTTACGAAAATTGTACGTGACTTGTATAATTTAAGACAGTCTGTTTACTCCGCCAATTTCTCCTTTGATCGATTTTTAGTTCCAAAAAATATAATATAAATTGAGGTAAACTGGATACATGACGTTATTTATCATCTTTGTACTGAACATCAATATAAGTTTCTAACATTTTATATAACTTTTATGTAAAATAAGTTGTATATTACATAAATATATGGCATCCATGTATGTTATAAAAAGAATCTGTTTGTTTGTTCGTTTATACAAACCACGCCTCTCGTAGGTATAAACATATTTAAATTCAAAAATCGTATAAAAAAGAAAAAAATAATCGAGAAACTAAATTAAATAACGTCAACAAGCGAAAAATAAGGTTCTACATGTAAAAAAAAGGATGTTCACGGGTGCAGTTCTATAATACATATCGAGAGTACGGTCCGCCGATAAATTCAGGTTCGCGCGTATTTTTTGCTCGGTGCAGTGTCCCCACTCTTTTTCTCCGACTTTTTCTTTCGCTCCTAATCGGCGATCTTACGTCACGCATGCAGTCACAACCGGTTCCCGGCCCCGACGGTTAGGTCTTAGGAAGTGTTTGCATCTGATGCGAGGTCGCGACGCCAACATATACACCGAGACGAAGCGAAACGGCGAAGTCTCGACTGAAGCATCGCGTGATTTAACTGCCCACGATGATCCCAATTTTTCAGATAAACAACTCCTCGATCTCCGTCTCGATTCACGATGATATACGAAGTGTCCCGGATGTTAGTCATTTACATATATATGTCCGATTGCCATTTTTGACAAATTTGCAGTAGTTTTTTCTTCAACAAATTTTTTTATCGAACGCTATCCCTGCCATAGTTTTGTCGTTTTCAACATTAAATATTTTAATAGCTTAATATCTAATTGCAAGAGTCTATCAAAATTAAACTCCCGAAATTACACGAACAATTATATTGATGTTAGGAGTTTTATAAACCTTTTCACTTAAATAAAATATTGTCTTTTATCGTAACCTGCGTTAATATCACATTGTCGCATTTCTATGCCAGTAATCATACATATAGTGTAGTATAGCCTTGACAGACTAATGATTTAAATAATAAAGAACGGAAACGTCAATCCGCGGAAACTACGTGAAAAAGTATACATGAGAAGGTAACGAGACATACACAAGCATTAGAGACTCACCTTTCTGCAGCTGACCATGGTCCGCGTTCATTTTCGCCTGCAACAGAAAGTGCTGCGCTTCACCAAGTAGAATTAGCACGACGGCCGTGTATATGAAATAGACCACTAAAATATTTCGAAGTGGGTTGTCTCACCTCGTAACCTTGTTTCGCGCCCCTGCCGCCACCCCAGTAGTCGCTTTCCTTGTCGTGCGGGGCGCATTGCTGCAACACAGAAGAAAGTGTTGCTAATTAGTTTCAGCAAGTGTCTCCATCAACTTCCAACTGACTAACTTTAATCCTTCATTAATTTAGGAAGATGAAATTTACGAAATGCATATACAGCAATAGGAATGGAGGAAGAGAGATTGCAACGATATTTTTTAATATTTTCACTTTTTAAAATAAATTTCATTAAATACAATATATTATTTGCAACATATTTAAAAACTGCCTTTTTCTTGACGTCCAATTTACATTCGATTCTTCCGTTAAGCACGGCGTGTACTTAACACGTGATATCAGATAGCGGGAAATACGCATTCTTGGGAATAATGTTATACATATGCGCCCTCATTTCATTCGCCATAAATTATTCGACGTTTCGCTAATTACCAGAAGCGTGCTTCCGCGAGATTAATTGTCCGCGCCACCTTGCGATGCGATGGTCCAATAGTGGCACGCATAGGGCGACCACAAGACCCGTCGAAAAGATGACCCCGTTTCCCTTCCCACGACCCTTCAAGCCACATCCATCCCCCCCCGGCATGACCTTCCGCATTTCGACGAAACTCGCGTCAGGTCGCGTACTACGCCTCCCCGAGAATTCGGAACCGACTGAGCCCTCGTAAACCTCGAAAGTTCGAACTACTTTCCTTCCGAGTTTCTAAAATATATAAGACATGCTGTGTACCTTTCTCAGAGTTATAATAAAAATATCTTCCCGTTATAAAATATCTTTACAAAATATCAATTCTCAATTATATAAAAGCATCCACTGTTTTGTCTGATATAAAAGCAGCTGCTCTCCCGTGCATTGCGAAAAACATGTTGTTCGTATCCGGAGGATCAATAAATGAATAAGAAAATATATTTAAAGCGTCGAAAATGCCGCTGTGTAAGTATATTCTGTGTCTCATTCGCTAACGTATATAACGAAAAAAATACATGATGGCGAACCAATGATAGATTGTTGAATGTACCTCGTATGATTCATGACGTAATTTACATACTTTCTACTTTCTACTTTCTGCTCTTATTACATTTAAATTTAAAATATATCTGACGATAATAATAAAGATACTCGCGCTATGAAGATCGAGAAGGAGTATTTCATATCAACGAAAAATCTTGTATTCATGACGCGCGATATCGAAAGGGATATTTATGCCAAACCGTTTTTACGGCGGCATCGTAAATATAGCCTTAAATATACAGGTCAAAGAAGTCGTGCTGGATACGGACGACGATATGGACCGAATCGTAGCCCCGAAAAGGGGACAAAGATCGGTGTGTGCCCGTCCTGAAGAAGGGTCGGTGGTGGCCCTTCGCGCTACAGGTGGCTCGTCAAACGATCCCGATTCCGCCGGAACCCGCGTAAGCTCGCCGGGATAGGGCGAAGATACGCGTCCATGGATCAAGAGTGGACCGTCGATGATGACCCGAAGATCCTCGCGATCCGGCTCCACGAAGATCGTGCCGTGTAGGACGGACGACGAGGAAGATGCTTACAAACACACGGAGACTTTCGATCTACGACGGAAGTCTACGGGACGATATTCGTGTCTATTTTAAAGACGGGAAACCAGAGAGGAGAGGGGTGGATGGAAAGCGCATACGTTCGAAAGCAATCGACTTTGGGGGAATAAGGGGAAGACGGTAGGGGTTGAGGTGCAAGGAGATCTCGTTCCTTAAACCCAACCATGTGTTACCGGATCGCCTGGAGACGGCCATTCTAAAATCAGGATCTCCACCGGATGATGTCAGGTCTTTATCTAACGCGTTTATCTAATGCGTAAAACGAAAGGAATTCTCGATATCTAACGAGTTTATTTTGCGGCTTAGCGACGCTGTTTATCTCAATGATTTATTTCAACTCTGGAAATCGATTGGATCGTTAGAATTATTTTTCATAATTACTTGTTGGTAATTATGAATAACGATTCCAACGATCTAATCGAAATAAACTATGCTGATTGTTCCTAATATAGTTTATATAATGTATATAACGAGAAGCCTTTATTAAATCTTTCTTCGCAATTGTTCTTTCGCACGTAAATAAACTATATTAATTTAAAGTAATTCCTAAGTAAAAGAGAGATAAAGAAAAATAGATTATAATCATATATTAGATATTGCTACATATTAACCATATCTGTAAGACAAATATCAAGATGTGTATTTTTCCAGGAAAATATTCCAATACACACGAGAATATATAAAAATCAGATTTTCCTTTAGAAGTAATTTAGAAAATGTCTTGTCGTGCGAAAATGTGATTGTTCCTGCAGGTATTGGAAATATCAAGAGCGGTGGATACACCGTGATCAATCCAAATTGAATCCGGCACAGTTTCCCGTGTGTGGGTGCGCGCAACGCGGTTAAAATTCAGCTGGATAATTTCCATATCGGTATCAACGATACGTATTAAAGTGCTGTGTCCGGCAGCAGAACCAGCTCGCCGAGCCCTTACGTCCAGCGCCCTACGTGCCCGACAGAGAGAAGAACGTGCCGGAGGCAGCTCTGGATTGGTAATCCAACCTACCACGGCTCGCTCGAAGGGAAGATATAGAGAAAGAAGAAAAAAAAAGACAAAAAAATACATTTTAGCTCGCATCCAGGCACTGCAGCCAGTTTCACCCCCCCCCTCCTCCCGCCCCGTTCTACGCCACCCACTCTCACCCTCTCGCTTCTCGCGCACCCCTCGGTCCTTCTTTTCCTCCCACATCCACAAGCTCCCTCTTTACGCCCTTCTTTATCTCTCCGTCTCTCCCTCTCGCGCGCAGGCTGCGAGCGTACGTGTGTACGGCGAGTACGTGGTCGAGCCGATGGTCGAGAAGAGCGTCCCGATAGAAAAAGGACGCCGACGCGCGGCGTCGGTAGGTGGTCGGGTAGCTGTGAAAAAAAAATCAAAAAGATAGGAGCCGCAGGGGTGGAAGAGGGTCAGAAGAGAGAGAAAGACAGAGGCAAGGGGTGGGGAGGGGTAAAAGGCAGGGAAAAATGAAAGAGAGGTGGACGAATGAGAGGAGGAAAAGGGCGGAGGATAGACGGGACGAGAGGGAGAGAGAGACCATGTGCGTATGTGACGGCACGAGAGAGAGGGAGACGGAGCGGATGCTCGAGGCGATATTCCGATGGCGGGGAAGAGCGGCGCATGGGCAGCCGTCGGAGGAGGGGGAGGGGGAGAAAAAAGGTGTAAAAAATGTCGGAGCCGAGGAAACGGGAGAAAAAAATCGGGCCGTCTCTACGGAGGCGGCGGGGAGGGGGGGTATGTAGAGAGGGACGAAAGGGAGGAAGACAGAACACGGCGCGGGGGGAAGGGGAGAGGTAAAAGAGAGGAGTCGGTGGTAGTAGACGAACGAAAGAAGGACAGTAGACAGGCATAAGGGAGAGGAAAAATCGGAGGGGACGGTGAAAAAAAGCGGGGGAGAAAAATCGAGAGCGCGAAAGACGAAGAGATAACAAGAGAAAAGGAACGCGCGGCGGCGGGTGAGAGAAGGACAGACGAAGACGGAGAGTCGGGAAAGACGAGCGTAACGGCGCGGTGGGAGGGAGGGAGGGAAGAAAAAGGGAACGTGGTCGAGAGAGACGAGGAAAGGGACAGTCGGATAAAAGAGAGGGATGGGTGAGCGGCGAAGGAGTGCGGAGGTGAGTGGCAAAGCAGTACCGAAACGGAAAAGGGGGAAAGAAAGAGAAAGAGAGCGGCCCACACCGTGCACATGCGTGACCGTCCGTCCGCGTACGAGGCGGCGGGTATTGATCAGCCAAAGAGCGCCACGACGCCGGGCGTCCTTTTGCGAGCCTTGCTTTTTTCGGCGCAGCGCGGCGCGGAGAGACGGGCGAGAGGGTGCACGGGAGTCGCGCGCCGTTCGTAGGAGGAGGACGGGTAGAGAAGTCGATGGTTGAGGCGGCAGGAGAACGAGAAGGCGGCGGAGGAGGAGGTGGAGGAGGAGGAGGCAGAGAAGGTGGCGGTGGAGAAGGCGGGATGCAAGGAGTGCCACGACCTAGCCCAACAGACTAGCCCGGCGTGACGTCACTCTTTTTCTTTGCTCGGCGTCGCGACGCGGCGTCGCGCGGGACGACCGAGAGAGCAGAGGATCGTAAAAAATCTCAGAGTAGAGCCCTTATCCCGCGGTCGTCCCGCGGAATCCTCTGTTTTTGCCCCGGAGTCGCTCGGCTTTCGGACGCGCGAAGCATCGGAGGATGCATCGCGCAGTTTGTTTACCACGGTCGCGAATAGTGGATGCACGTGGCACGTGAGGCGGGTCGTGGCGCGACAACGAGAGAGAGAGAGAGAGAGAGAGAGAGAGAGAGAGAGAGAGAGAGAGAGAGAGAGAGAGAGAGAGAGAGAGAGAGAGAGAGAGAGAGAGAGAGAGAGCGAGAGAGAGAGAGAGAGAGAGAGAGAGAGAGAGAGAGAGAGAGAGAGAGAGAGAGAGAGAGAGAAAGAGAGAGAGAGAGAGAGAGAGAGAGAGAGAGAGAGAGAGAGAGAGAGAGAGAGAGAGAGAGCGAGAGAGAGAGAGAGAGAGAGAGAGAGAGAGAGAGAGAGAGAGAG